AAGTCATCTCTTGTTGTTTGATTTCAATATGTTTACAAAAGTAGATACTTTGTATAATATAATAATAAGTGTACATGTACTCATATTGTACATATGTAATATTTTTTGATCTTAATTTATAAGGAATAATATAATCACAGTAAATACTTTTACTTTCTTTATAAAATAACAATACAATTTTTTATCAATAAAATTGTCTCAAAATATTCTCTGCTTGCAGATGTTCGATAGTGTATCGATCCTGTTCTCGGATGTAGTGACTTTTACTGAGATCTGCAGTAGAATTTCACCGATGGAAGTTGTGTCAATGTTAAACGCCATGTATTCATTGTTTGATACTTTAACCGAGAGAAATCGAGTTTACAAGGTATTCTTTATTCGTTTCATAGAAAAGATTATCTCGATTGTTCTGATTTCTCGGGAATCCTGTTCGGATCTCTCGTTCAATCTTGTAATATGAATCTAATTATCGTAGCCTATTATTGCATTATTCATAAATTTAGCAGTAAATATCATGCATTTTATTTTAATTAATTTGATTTAATTTTCATCAAGTTTAATAAAAAAAAATTGCTAAAATAATTGAATCTTTATTTTAATATATTTTCATGTTTGAAAAATTTTTTAAAAAGTTATTTATATATCAAATGATCATGGAGTCCTTTTTTATTCAAGGTCGAAACTATCGGTGATGCTTACATGGTAGTCTCAGGTGCGCCCGTAAAAGAAAACGATCATGCAGATCGTGTATGCGATATGGCGCTTGACATGGTAGAAGCAATAACCGATCTCAAAGACCGTTCAACAGGTATATTTTTCAATTTTTCTTAAGACATGATCAGACTAGAGATTGAGATTGAGATTGGATTGGAATTTAACCAATCACAAGAAAGAAAATCAACTGATTAAGTCTAGTAAACTTTACTTTGATTGGTTAAATTCCAATCCAATCTTAATTTCTAATCTGATTATGTCTTTAGAGCATATTTTTATTTTGTTACATTCTTCGAATTTCTAATAATTCTGCAACTAACGATACGAATTCCATATGAATCCATACAGTCTTTTAAGGCTTTAGGACATTGTATAGTTTCACATTCGCACGCACGCACGCACGCACGCGTAGAAATACAGTGAAATATTTAAAATCGTTTCTTTATAAAGATACCCTTTGAAATTCTAATTAATTTATCTTAATATATCAAATATTAATTTGATTACAGATTTTATATCTAGAAAGTAATAAGAAAAATTGTATTATATGATCTTTCTTATTCATATCTTTATCAACTTGTTTTAAGACACTATATATTATACCTGTGTAATACATTTCACTGAATTTCACTCGCAATGACGTAGCATGGATTTCACATTACACTATAAAAGAAAATTTATAATTATCTTCACAGGTAATCATCTTCAGATACGCGTTGGCATTCACAGCGGCGCGGTTGTAGCCGGTATTGTTGGCTTAAAGATGCCACGATATTGTCTCTTCGGCGACTCCGTTAATACAGCAGCCCGCATGGAAGCGACAAGTCAAGCCATGCAAATACATATATCTCAATCCACCCAAGAATTGTTATCACCTTCATACAAGGTGAAAGAACGTGAAGAAATCGAGGTCAAAGGAAAAGGTAAGGTATCTTGAATTTTTTATCTTATACACACTATTTTTACGGGGATATTCCTATGATATTCTTTTTGCTTGTTAATATTTAATTTTAAGGATTTATTGAGACATGTCAGGGCCGATAATTGTACACACCGATTGTAATAGGCACAATGAAGACCTATTGGTTGGAAAAGCGAGAACGTCGTTCTGTTATGACTAAGGGAATCACTATACAGGAGCCTCATCAATGGCACACAAAAAGTTTCGAGAAAAGAGTTTCCTCGGTGGGAACTATAGGTCTGATAAGCACAGGTATATTCGACAAATCGACTTCGGGAGACGCGCTATCGAGACGTAGAGGCTCGTCGAAGATGTCATCCCCTACGCCACCAGGATCCTCGGGATTCCTTTCTGAAGAGAGAAGAATATATTCCCCTATCACTTTTCAAGATGTCGCGCTACGATCGATCGCGAATTCACCGACGAAGAATGTGGAAGTACGAGGTGAAACTTTTACATTTCTTTTTTATAATATATAATATATAGTATATAAAAGTATGATTATAGCGATTGCTTGACAAATCATATCGAAAGCTAGAATGGAATAGCTAGTTCCATTTTTCTCGAAGCTTTCTCTAATAAAAAAGCAGAATATATAATAAATTTTCTGTTTGTATGGTTGCAGAATGCCGATCAAATTCTATGGGTGCGGTAGGCATAAGGAGCGCGTCAGACATGTTCAGTTCTCTCCTGAACGACACAGAGGAGCACTTCCGACAGCACCGGGATAACTTGTCTCCGCGCGTCGGAGAAAATCAATCAATGAGCGTGCACGTGAAACCGGAGGTGAAGATTAATGCCACTTCATCCTTGTCTTCACAGAGCTCCGAAGAAGAATCGAATTTGTCATTGGATTTCACACAAATGCAAAAGGATAACGCAGATGCGAGAATTAGTAACGATAATGAGTGCGCAGCAATCAGTAGTGATCTCAACAACTCTCAGTTGTTGATGCAACAGGACCAGTGTTGTCCGGGATTTACTATCTCAAAGAACAGCAAGATGCGTCATCAAGGGAATAGCTGTATTATTGTCTAATGCAGAAGTTGAAGATTGTTGCAGATTTAATATTTTTTTTAGATTTCAAAATGCTAAAATATGTTTCTTTTTTCGATTTCTTCTCTTATTTTCGTATAACAAAAAATAAACATATTTATATCATTATTTTATATCATTATTTTCGTCGAAAAAATTCGATTTCTGTTCCTAAAATAATTTTACAAATTTAAATATCTTTTAGAGATGATTTTTATTTCACATGCCACAGTAATTTTTTGATAATTTCAAAGAGAGAGAGAGAGAGAGAGAGAAAGAGAGAGAGAGAGAGAGAAAGAGAGAGAGAGAGAGAGAGAGAGAAAATCTCTTTGTCTATTATTTGATAAGAAATTTAAATGAACTTGGACACAAAGATAACCCGCGAAATGCATAATTTCCGTAAAGAAACTTAAATTCTTCGCAACAGCACAGCCAAGTGTATTCGCGTATATTTAATAATAATTGTACATATATCTCAAAAATAAAGTATTTAAAAGTTTGAAGCATTTGAACCTTTCGACGAGATTGTATTTTCATTACCTAAGCAATATTTAAGTTAGCACAACTCATTGGCGATACATTGGGCGAATTCAAACTTCAAATCAGCAAAGTGACTTGCTGAGCAATTAAATATAATTGATTGGATCTACAGGTAAGAACTAATCATGCTCATTGACAAGCATGTCGCTTTGAAGGTTTAAACTACGAAGTAAGAGATAAAGAAACCGAACTCTGAGAAACGAAGTGATCCTGACTCGTGACCTCTAATTGGGAGGGAGTCCATTGAACGGAATGGATTTTTATTTTGAGCATCATTTGCAATTAACCTTACCCGAGCAATCCGGTAGTCCTGTATCATGATTCTGCTCACAAAAGTGCTCAGTTGGCAATTCTCAATTTTTTCAGTCATTTGTGTTCCTTTGTTATCTATACATTTAGTATAGTGTTGTTTAGTATTAATATCATAAAATATGATCCATATTCAAAACGCACTTACAACGATGTAGCGCATTAACATATTATATAAATTATGCATACTATAGAATTTTAGAGATAATAGCCTATATTCAGAACCGAATTTTATCAACGTCAAAAACGTGATTTTATTAATAAAAACGCGTTCTGAATACGGGCTATATCTTCCATCTCCTGCTGTCGAAATATATGTTATAATATGATTCACATAATTATTAGAGATCTCTTTTTTGAAATACTTTCTTAATTTATTTGGATTTATAATCGCAAATCTCTCAGCAACAAATACGTGCAGCGATCAGTGACGCAACGTGCACATACCTAACCACATAACACTTACAAATGGCGCCCAAACGTCTATTTCCAAAAATCTATTCTCAGCGGATTCCTTCCCAATAGTTACATTTACATCTAAAATTCTGATTGGATAAATTAAAAGAATACAACCAATAACAGCGAGCGCTCATTCTATTATTGAATCCGCTAAATGTGCCCAATTAGGGGTATGAAACAGGACAACTTTTTTGGCTTGCGCACTATCTAATTCGATCTCCTTATCACTGGTGTAGTTTCCACCGAGGGTTTAAGAAAGGGCAAGAACCAATTAATTACAATCGAGTATTCTCCTGTCGTTCGACTGTAACAGGGGAATACTAGACTGTAGTTGGTTGATTCTTACATTCTGATCCTATTTGAACCCATGGTGGAAACTAGACCATTGAGTGAAAAACTATTGTTCTTATTCTCTGTTTCCTGTTCCTGTTATTATGCAGAATTCCTTACTTATACTACGGCCTTAAGACGTTTAGAAAATCTTGCTACTGATACAAAAAAGTGAATATTGCTATGTAATTAACATTCACTTTTTCAGAGGGCAGTAGTGCGCTGGACAGTAGTTTGCGAGAAAAAAGCCCTCATGTTTTATATTCTCTCTCAGGTTTCTCTGCCGGTACTGCTGGTAAGTGATAGTGGTTACGTTACGAGTTACGTTTTACGTTACGGGGGGGGGTGGTCGCGTCGCGGTCGTCAGTTGGTCGTGTCGTGCGTCGTGTCGCGATTACGGATCGTCGTGGCGCCTTTCTCGTCATTCCTCTGTCCTCTTAAAATTTTTGCCAATTCTATATTGCCCTATGGAACGTCTAAATAGTGTGCTTTTGATGTGACGTGTTATATATATATATATATATATATATATATATATATATATCTATTTTT